AATTACACTGCCAGTCAGTGCAGCAACAGCAGAGTGTAGTTTTTCTACGCTTAACGTCTAAAGACTTGGTTTAGAAATAGAACTTCGGAGGAATGGTTAACTGGTTTAGCACTCATTATTGTGCATCCTGAAATTTCTCTAGATGTTGATGCAATCATAAAGCGATTTGCTAAATCGGATAGTGGGAAAGAATACATTTTATAAAATTATATAATATTTAATTATCTTATTCTGATAGTATTTTTAATCACTGAACTTTTATTTACCACTCGTTGCCGGCCGTTGCTGACAATTCGTGAGAAAAATTTCAATACCGAGTAAAAAAAATATTTCAGTCACTTGTAGCCTAATATGCCTAATTATAGAAATAACTATTCTCAAATTATATAATGTTTTTTGTTGAATAAATTAATTTAAATAAAATGCTGTTTACACTTCTTCTTAAGATTCCTTCTTCATTACGGAAGGGTACCTATGTGTGTCTGTACGGAAGTGTCCATGCCTGTCCAGTCTCTTACATTCTTCAGCCAGGAGCATTTTCTTATTTCTTGACCTCTTTTTCCTTCTACTTTCCCTTCCATTATGAGTCGTGGAAAGTTATATTTTTGTCCTCTGTAAATATGTCCTAGATAACTCGTTCTTCTGGTGTTTACAATATTTAGGAGTTCTCTCTCAGTCCTCATTCTTCTCAACACCTCGTTGTTTATCACATGCTCTGTCCACGAAATCTTCAGCGTCCTTCAAAAAACACACATTTTAAAAGCTTTTATACGCCTCATACTTGTAATTCCGAGAGTCCATGTTTCATGTAAGATTGTAAAATACAATTATCTCTAAGAATCTTACATTTTTAATGCGTGTAATTATAGATAATTACAAATTATTTTCTGGCACAACAATTGATTGTGGACGACCTTCATAACTCTTATCAGGAAGCGCACAGCGATCACAATTAAATTCGTTATACAAGCATTCCACTTACACAAAAGGACCACGAACAGCTTAAACGTTTCGAGCGAAAGATCCTGAGAAGAATATATGGAGGAATAAAAGAGCAAAGTTTGTGCCGGAGTCGTTGCAACTTTAAGTTGCATAAAAATGTTGAGGAACCTGACGTAAAATTCATTAACGTAGCACGCCTTAAATGGATAGGGCATGTAATCAAATGAGAGGATGAGATAACGAGCCAAAAGAAGACTGAGACTTAAGTATCAAGACAACTTAGAGGATGATTTAAAATCTTATGTAGTTAGAACAATGAAAAGAGTTGTCAGAAACAACGATGATTGAATCATTGCACTGAAAAAGGCTTTGGCTCATAACCAGCTGTGATGTCACTGATGATACAAGCGTTTCGAAATGGCAAAAAATGTTCTTCATCCACAAAAGGAATAGTATTCGTAATAAATCATCACTAAACGTCAGATAGCACTCCACAACAGTAATTGTTGTCAAGGCTCAGAATATAAGAAGTACTCTTCTTATATTACTCTGGAGCACTAAGTATATATACACAAATATCTTAAAATTTTCTAAAAAAAATTTGTGTGGTACGTCCCTGATGTCAAAAGTCTGAAAGTTCACACTTTATAGCGCCATGGTGGCCACCGCGCCACTTTATCGCGAACGGGAAAATTCTATGTGTTAAAGAAACCATACATTATCGTCGGTTATACGCGTTTTAAACGGGAAAGTAAAAGCGGGAGGATAGATCTAGATAGGAACTTCGTAATAATGAGAATATATTTCGTGGGTAGTGTTTTTGGCGGGTTCTTGATGTACGGCTAAAAATTCACTGCAGACATTCTTAAATATTATTCATAAAGTCTTATTTATATATTTTTCTACTTCATCATTTATTCATCATTTAATTGTGAAATATACGAAGAATATTTGACTGATAAAAGGTTAACTTTAAAACGATTGGCAGAGCGACAAATAATGTTTCGAATATTCTTGAACACTTCTTCCTTTTATATGATAACGACATTTCTTAACGAAACAGTACATCTATGGGTTGTGGCATGAGACAGCAAGGTAAGCAATACCTGAAAAAGAACATCGTTCTTAAATTGCCACATACCGCATTACCAAACATTTGTTTAACTTTTAAATTTATAATGTTATAATTTTCTTATGAGGTACGTGTCCAATTGCGAAAAAAACTAAAAACAGGCCAAGAATGAGCGGGACTCTATGATCTCCATCGTACCCTGGCCAATATCGAAATCCCCGATGACAAAATTCGATCTCCTCCTTGATGCATTTGGAATTGGAGGTTGATGGTCATTTTTTATTCCTTCCGAAGAGCATATTTCTTTTGAAGATCCAGTGGAAGTAGATAACTTAGCCAGTAAGTGCGAAATAATGATGCCGGTGGTGGTTCTCATAGTCTTCTTAGCTATATTTAAATTTAAAACAGGACGCATATATTCAGCTGCTAATGAGATCAGATCAAGTGCAGCTTTCGTAGAATCTCGGTTGAAAATCATTAAGCCCAGCCATACAGCTGGTGGAGGCTCTGTTTCGGGTTAAAATTTTAGCAGTAAGTAATAAATGTTCTTGTCGTGACAAAATTATTCTTAATGCGACACCTAGATACTTCAATAATCTGTTTTACGTATATAATCATCATTTTTTTGAGTAATAATTAATACCTATAAAATAATTAACACTGTTAATGGGTTTTTTCTACTATCTATTGTTTGCCACTGTGTAACTGGGAAATACGTAACAATTAACCTACAAGTTCTATGTTTTCCTCCTATAATTAAACCCATACTATTGTTATTCCAAGCCGTTGCTATGGTCTACGGTTTTCTGAAAGCGTTTCACGAAATGTACTATATGTAGATACATTTAGATTTGAGAGTCAGCCGAAAATATAAATTTGTACGGTTAAGTAAATAAATGTTATAAATTAATTGTGTTTTAGTGTTAGTGTTTAAAGTCTGTAAAGAACTTAAAATAAACATTACACTATATTCCCAAATTTTAAACATAGTACGACAACTTGTATATTATTTCATATACAGAAATGTCACACCATATCTTTTAAGAACTTACATCTTATATTTTTAATCAACACAATCATGGAATATTATAACATATTATATTGCTAAATTTCTATCTATAAATATATACCTATTACAATAACGAGTGACAAATATGTTTATAATAATTGTTTTTATATTTTAGGTGTCGAATTAGACGGTGCACATTCCGATGAAACTAACTCTGGTGATAATTCCAACGCGGGATCAAGTATAGGTCCAGATGATGATCAAGCGAGGTTGAGATTAAAGAGAAAACTCCAAAGAAATCGGACGTCGTTTACAAATGATCAAATCGACAGTTTAGAAAAAGGTATTAACCTCTTAGCGCTAGATTAATTTTTTTCGGAATATTTTTGTAAATTTAATGTTTTGGTCAAAACATTATAAGTTGAGTTAGGAGTTGATCTAAGTTGCTTAGAAATTCGGAATCTAATTATAAGAATTTAGGCCATTCATCGTCATTTTTAGAGCAGTCAGAACGCGATGTTACATAATACGGGATATATTCTCCGTTATTTTGGGATAGTAAAATTAGAGTTAATTATATTATTTTTTAGAATTTGAACGTACTCATTATCCCGACGTGTTTGCAAGAGAGAGGTTAGCAGCGAAAATCGGACTGCCTGAAGCGAGGATACAGGTGTGGTTTTCCAATCGAAGAGCCAAATGGAGGAGGGAGGAGAAACTGAGAAATCAACGAAGAGGAACGTCTGTTACGACAGAACATCCCGTATCTTCCGCATCTCCACCGAGGCTGCAAACGTTCAATAATACTACGATGTACTCTGCAATTACGCCGACCATGTCAATCGCTGAGACGTACAGGTAACAACAATGATTTATACAAAATAATATAAAATGTGGTTAAATGCTCGAATATATAAACTTTAGAAATAAAAGGCAGATATCGAGCACATTTCTTTATTAAATCTTGCCCAAGTACTTCCGCTCTCAGAAGATCTTCTTCAGAAATGATAGCTTTCAGTACTTCAATGAATTTTATATACAATAAATACATTTACACAAAAACTAATATTAGACAAAGGACAAACAGTTTAAAATTATTTTGATGTGGGCATGAGTCACCACTTTACTTTCATGGGAAGTTCTCCCTCCACAAGGGAAATGTCTAGATCCACCACGGAATCCGCTACTGCATGGGCTGCGTTTGTTTGTATTTGCTCTGTTAGCAGAAACGCAAAACTGTTTTTCCAACCTGTTTTTATTTTTGCATTATCAGTGCTAATTTGTCCTTCGCTATTGCTACAAAGATTGTGATGCGTGGTCACTTCTACTGGTTCTAACAGTACAGAGCTACTTAAGCAACCAACCTATCTATGGTTATCAATAAAAAAAAATAGGCTGTGACGTCTATAGTAATGAGATAATTGCTTCGATTTTGACTTCAACGAGAAGGGAGAAGGGTCTAAAATAACTATCAACCAAGAGCGATCACGCAAAATGTCAACAACAAAATTGTTACTTCGGTGCATTATGAATTATATTTTTTTTGTGTGTTTTGGCTTGGACAATTGTCATTCAGTCAGTCTCAATCAAGATAAGTTTATTAATGTAGTGTGTGTATGTGTGGTGTGTGTGTGTGTGTGTGTGTGTGTGTGTGTGTGTGTGTGTGTGTTTGTGTGTGTAGAGTAATTGTCTTGATACTTAGCAAAGTCGACGTCATTGTCTTTGCTAAGTGACGCTAATTGTATCCGAACGTCTGCGGTCCCTCCGGTGTGTACCGATCACACAAGGATAGAAATTATTTTCATTTATTAATTTTTTTTTAATAAACGAAAATTTCCACCCAGGTGGGATTCGAACTCACGACCTTTAGATTTAAAGGCAGGCGCTCTTACCACTGAGCCACAGAGGGGGTTATGAATTATATTTGAACGGTAAAAGAACGTTGTTGAATTTATTATTATTTTTGATTTCAGTCCGATGTCCACTATGTCCAGCTTCACTCATAGTTCTCTATCGACTGGTATGGGCCATTCGCCGGCGGCTTGTTTGCAACAAAGAGAAAGTCCAACGATGACAGGTGCAATGGGAGGATATTGTATGGGTAGACCTCCAGGATACGATCTTCCAACCATAGGTTACGGAGCGCGGCCCTCTCCATGTAGCCCTTCACAGCCATATCAAGTGAACGGTCATCAGTACAATCCGGGTGCTACATCATCTACAGGTACATATGTTGGTTATTAGTATCACAAACGCTCTATCTAGTGAAATGCTGCAAATTCAAAAATCCGTATCGTGTAACCGCATTACCACTTCTAAATACGAATATATTTAAGAGGGAAGTGACTAATTTGCAAATAATGATTTACCACTACTGTTTAAACTTCTTTATCGAAAAATAACAGATTGTAGTATAATCCAGGTAACTATTTGGATAGCTTTTTCAAATTTTTGTTTTACCCGTTTAATTTTATTCATGAAGTAAACATCACGTCGATCATTAATTTAAAAGTAAATGTCAACCTTTTTCAATGCATTTCCGGTCTTCAACGTGTACTATGTTAATTAAAAATTAGTCCATAGCAAACAATTATAAGCAAACAGAAGTTATATTCTGATTATAAATAAAATAGTTTAACAAATTGTCGGACAAGACTTGGCAACAATGTTCTAAAAGTGCTAAAGACGTGCATCTCCTATCTTGTTAAAGAATAAAGAAATCTGTTATTTTGACCAGAGCACAGTATTGATTCTTTAGTAATAAGTATGCTGTGACCAGAGTATATACCACAAAAAGAAAAATATGTACTCTGACTTTGACAAATGACAATAAATATTTTTGTTTTGTGTAATATAAATTTTTCATATCAAAATGATTGATGATGAAAAGCTTATCAGCTTTCTACAGACTATTTAGTTGTTTTGGAATAGCACAATCACAATACACAACAATAATTAGTTTTTAAAGTTATTAATCTAAATTTAATATATATTTATACATACAATTTATTAATATATAATATAAGATGATTAAATTGTGTAAAAAATCAAAACATAAACAAAATTCTTACTCTAAAAAGCAGCAACACTTTAAACAATTTTGCCACACGCTGAACTGTCATTAAAATTTTAAGTATTCCCATATCAGTTGCGTACAATTGTCTATATTTAATTAAAATTATTATTTTGTGGAATATTAGACTTAACAAGTTATTTCATAAAATTTACATTATTAATAATAACAATACGCATTGAAAAAAACCAGAGCCGCATTCTATAAATTAAAGAAAATTGTAATTAATAGAGATATTACGTTAAACCTTAAAATCAGATTAATACGCTGCTGCATATTCTCCACATTGCTGTATGGTATGGAGAGCTGGACCCTTACAGACAATGAAAAAATTAGAGGCCTTGAGATGTGGATTTATCGACGAGTATTGCGGATAAGTTGGGTTGATCGAATAAGCAATGAAATAGTTTTACATCGAATGAAAAAGAGCATAGAAATAAAAAAGCGATAACAATTCGAAAGTTACAATATTTCGGTCATATACTGAGACATCCAGAGAGGTATAACCTTCTATAAAGAAAGAAAGAAGGAGAATTATAACAAATGTTTTTGGTTATTTAATCAATACAATTCTAAAATTCCCAACATAATGATTATATTTTTCTGATTATTATTCCATGTAGACGCCTATGAAAGATCGAGCAGTTCCGTATGGGTTTCGGTTTATTAGCTGTGTTAGGAAAATTCCAATTCTGAGGTTGACGTTCTGGAAATTTTAAATATAATTGACGTCACTATATAAATTGTGACATGCAACGTTTTTACTTTGAAAAATGGTATTATAACCTATAAATGCCTATTATAATCGGTTCGTTAATTCCAGTCCGAACTATCTAGTGAGTTTAGTAATTATTTTTTTGCGAAGTTAGTTACTTTTTCACATACTAGAAGTGGCTGGAAATTACTATGCAACCAACCACACGTGTTCATAGCGTATTTCATTAGAGTATGTCGTCGAACTTTTTTGTAAAATTATACTAATATTCTATTACTAATATCACAAACTAATTTTGGACGACCTAAAATTTTAGTTTTTTTATCTAACGTACTTTATTATGTGAATTATATAACACAATATTGAGTACGTTTTGTGATTAGGTATATATCATTTAAAATATTGCTATTCAGCGTTATTATCATCACTTTTAATAATATAAAACTTTAATATAACGATAAAATAACGATTGCAAAACGATAATATTAAACTTTATTTAAAAGGAAAGACCGTTAGAAACAAAAATGGTTAGTATTTTGAGAACGATTTCCGAAGTGGAAATTGAAACGTCAATAAACGTATTTTTATCTTTAATTGTGGCTTATTCCCAGTTAAATAGTAATTAATTTAAAATGCCACAAGAAAATAGCTTCAGAACAATATAAAGGTGCTTTTATTAAAGGACGACAAAAAACACCTCTTCAATAACTCTCTAACATTTTATATAAAATGTCGCCCAAGAAAAGATTGTGGGGAAAGGCACAGGGAAAAGAAAAATGTCCTGGTTTTAAAACAAACAAATTATTTGGCTACAAGACCAAGTAACTATTTCAATATGCTGTATCCGATATTCAAATAGCTACGCTGTAGCTATACCTCGTATCATAGTGGACACGTAGAGCAGAAAAAAAAGGGACGCAAGGAAAGAAATTCAGAACAATATTTCTTTTTTACTTACATAAATATCTCCTGTTATAAATTACAGATATAATAAAATTAATGCAGATCTTTTTGTTTCAGGTCTTATATCACCCGGAGTATCTGTCCCAATAGCAATACCTCCAAGTCAACCCGATGTGACTTCCCATCAACCGTACTGGCCCCGATTGCAGTGACCCTGGTGGAATTAATTCGATACCTTCAAGTGGACTGTTGCACCTTTCAATCTCCATTAAATTATTTCCATTCTGTACTTAATATTTGTATACCTATTTAAGAAGATACTGAATTTGTTAAGTAGATTGTGAAATTTCAAATATCAATAGAAATACAGAGTGTTTTAGAAATTATGTAACCTTTGTTTTATTTTTTATTACCATGTTTTGAATAATCATTCACAAAAAATGATATTTCTTCTCATTTAAACGTCATCTCCCTTATCGAGCTTAGAAATCTTCTATACCACTCTATTCACTCTAAGTGAGTACTGTAAAAAGATGTTTTTACCTTCAACCATATGACTCTCTTAGATTCTTCACATATCATATCGTTTTCCACACATTACATGTCTGATATATTGCATTTTTCTTTGTTTTATCGTCCTTTCACCTTCTTTTCTTTCTTCGCTTTTCTGCATACTTTAACGGACGTGATCCACCTATGAGATTCCTGCTGTATGTCCACATCTCTAAGAGATTAAGTATTCTTATTGCTTCTCGATTAAACCTCCACAATTTGACATCATAGTACAGAACACTGTACAGTAAATCGTATTTTTAGAATAATGCTAAATCTCTGTTACAATGAACTTTTTTCACTGCTTTTCCCAAGTTATTATTAGTGTTTCCAAGTACTCACACTTTCTTTCTTTCTTTCTTTCTCCCCTTCCTTTTACCCTATCAGGGTGTCGGATTTGGGCAGCTATTTTAATTTCCATTTACCCACCTCTTCCATTCTTTTCTGTTTCCTACCATTATTTTCAATTCAACGAGTGATTTTTGTTTAAGTTTTCCCGCCTCTACTACTTGCTGTATCCATTTTTTTCTTGGTCTGCCTCTTTTTCTTTTTCGGATGTTCTTTGCTTCATAAACTTTTCTTGTTATTCTATTGGATTGCATCCTCATCAGATGCTCATACCAGTTCATTTGTCTCTTTGCTATTTTGTTCATTATCGGTTCCTAGTTGGCCATTCTCCTAATAGTCTCGTTGCTTAATCTATCCCATATTGTCTTTCCAACTATCCTTCTTAGATGTCTCATCTCCATTGCGTTTATTCTGCTCTTATGTTTTTCCAGAATTGTCCAGTTTTCACTTGCATAGAGCACAGTCGGTATCACTATTGTGTTATATATTTTTATTCTTGTCTCTCGTGTAAGTTCTCTTTTTCCCATTATTGGGGCTAACGCATAGTATAACTTGTTTGATTTCTTTGCTCTTTTGTTATTTCCCAGTCTATTTTTCCGTCATTAGTTATTATACTTCCCAGGTATTCGTAAGTTGTTATTATTTTCAATTCTGAGTTTTTACATTTTATCTTTATTTGATTATCTTCCTGATCTCCTTTGACACTGATTACCATTATCTTACTTTTTTCCTCGTTTATCTCCATTTTTAGTTCTTCTATTTGTTCTACCCATATATCTTTTAGTTTCTGCATTTTATTCTCGGAATCTGCTATTAGTACTATGTCGTCTGCATACATTAAGGACTCTATTTTTACCGGTTGTAATCTGTGGTAACCTATTATTGTCTGTAGTTGATTGGTTCTGACTCTAGTGTTTCTTATCAATTCGTTCATTACTATTATGAATAGCAAAGGGCTGAGACTATCTCCTTGTTTAATACCTCTCTTCCAATTAAATGCTTCCAATCTTATTTGTACCCTTCCTTTTATCTCTTTGTAAGTACTTTCTATAACTTTTAGTAGTGCATTAAGTACATTTTAAGCTTTTTCCTATAATATGTCTTTCTATCGTGTGAAATGCTGCTCTTAGGTCTATGAATGCTAATATTAGTTTTTCCCCGTATCTATGCTTCTTTCTATTAGGTTTCTAATGATATATATGTTGTCATTTGTCTGTCTTCCCGGTACTTACACTTATTTACGTTATTATAGTATTGTGGTTCTTAATGGTATGTATGTGGTATTTTCATAAATATGGATTTTTTAACGTTGAGGGAGAGTCTATATTCTTTACTGCACCTTAATATTTTATTCATTATTTGTTTAGAGGTAGCAAAATACTTTTACGTATAATTAGGACTAGTTGTTCTGCCTGGTATGTTTGACACGTATATTAGAATACCGAATAAAAACCTACTACACTTCCTCTACCTCTGTTTCCCCCGCATGACTAACGGCAGTTCCGCTTGTGGAATCCTTCAGTCCTTCTGGTTGTGGAAGTTATTGTTTCTCTCCTTCTAACCGCCTTTACTTCCAGCTCGCTTCCTTTCAAATCGACGTGTGGAAGGACTTACATCGCAAATATGCTGATTGCGTCCCAAGCTGCCTTCGATAAAACCATTTCTCCTAATAAGGTCTCTGGTTGAATTGTCTGTTAAAGAACAGTTTCTACAGTTGCATAGCAACTTGAAATGAGGACACACAAAGAATACGTGCTCCCCGTCTTTATTGACTCGGAAGCAGCCATGTCCTTAGAGCATGTGCGTCAGATAGTAGTTGACTTCGCCATGTTAAAGGTTCAGCCAAACATTCACCTGTGGTATACCTAAGCAATGTTTGCACCTGACCGTTGTTGCGAAATCCTGCTGCATTTGCTATCGACGCAGACTGGTTTGCCGTTCTTTTGTTCTGAGTTCATCAAAACAATGTAGTTGTGGTCTACCGTCTTCACCGATAAAGGGTCAGTCTTTCTTCAGTTAGCACACCAATATGTATCATCCCTGCGATGACGTACACACCGTCCTCAGACACTGTACAAAACGCGCTGGTACATCTCAAGGTACTAAGGCGATAAGACCTTCCTCCGTGATTGCTGGGTTCCGATAGTATCAGTCCGTATGTTGACGTGACGACTGACAGTAAAGTCCTCCGGCTTTCTTTTGGGCTACCTACGTTCAACATTACCCGTGATAAAGGTGCCTTAACTCCCTTCTTTTTCTTTTTCAAGTGCCATATCCGCGGCGGAGGTCGGCAATCATCATAGCTATTCGGACTTTTGAGACAGCTGCTCTGGAAAGTTCATTTGATGTACATCCGTACCACTCTCTCAGGTTGCGCAGCCATGACATTCTACGCCTCCCCATGTTCCTCTTTCCTTGGATCTTTCCCTGCATAATCAGTTGGAGCAAGGTGTAATATGCCCGAGATATTCCAATTTTCTTGTTTTAATTGTATTTAAAATTTCTATTTCTTTATTAATCCTTCTCAGAACCTCTTTGTTTGTGACGTTTTGTGTCCACGATATTTAGATACTTAACTCCTTAGATATTCCTATATCTTCATTTTAGTGAGATCTCACATACTGCACTCCCATTTGGCGGAGATAAAAGCATTTTTGATGTCCAATAAGGCCACCAGCACTTCTTCGTAGTCCTCTTCCACCTGGTCCTTGCGATCGCATACTTAGCTAAATTAACGACCAGGTTAATCACATCCAGTGTCGATTATGCTCTTCAGAAAGCTTACTGGTAACTGCTACTTCGATTCTTTGATGAACTATTCGTTCCAATATCTTACCAGCTGTATCCAGCATACAGAACGTACGTTTCTTCATTAGCTCTGATAAGGTTGGCTATCTTCTTGGATATTCCTATACCTTCATTTCGGTGAGAGCTCGCATAATGCACTCCCATTTGACGGAGATGAAAGCATTTTTGATGTCCAATGTGGCCACCAGACACTACTTCTTCCTACTCATCTTCCATCTGGTCCTTGCGATCGCCTACTTAGCTGTGTTAATGACAAGGTTAATCACATCCAGTGTTGATTGTCCTCTTTAGAAAGCATACTGGTTGCTGTTAAGCACCAGATCAACTTCTACTTCAATTCTTTAGTCATTCCAATATCTTGTCAGCTATATCCAGTATAAAGAACGTACGATAAGATGATGCTTCATCCGTTGACTTCCTTCTTTTTAGGAGAAGCAATATTCTTTATTACCTCCATATGTACAGAAAAGTATCCTTCGTGAGGCATGTATTTTAGACATTCAGGAACATTGCCGATAATTCTTTGAAGAATGCTTTTGAAGCTATATTCAGGATTACATCCACGCTGGAGCTTTATTATTACACTCCTCCATTGATCCTCCGTGATTTCTTCAGTCATGCAAATCCTCGTTGGATAATAAGTCTTGTTGAGGAAACAGCGCAGTAACAATCCTCTCCGGGACTTGGGAAACATGTTGTTCTCGGCATTGACTGGCTTTTAAGATAACTTATGACCACCTTATATGACCTATCCCACGGATCATTCTCTATATCAATGATAAGTTTCACCCAGCAAGGTCTTTTGCTGTCTCTGATTGATTTATTTTGTCTTCTACGTGCTTTCTTGTACTCTCTCCCCAAGTCCGCCAAGTTTTGCCGAATCCAGCCACGCTGAGATGCTCTTCTCGCTCTGAGGTACTCTTTAACGAAAGCACTTATGGGATAATTCCACCAGTGTACTGATAAACACCCGTTTGTGCTGTTTTTCGGGACATACTTGCATCACAGGCCTCCATAACTCTTTTCAGTTCCTCGGCCTTATTTTCACCGTTTCTAGCGACAATTTGGCCGTCATCTAGAGTCACTGTGAAGGCAATAGGGTCAAAAGATTTCACCCTCCAACCAATTGCATTAGTCCGCGTGTGTCCTTCCGGTACTTCAATGGATATTTAACAAAGTAACGGATTACGATCATTGGCTGTTAAGACATTCATTATCTTCTAAGAACAGTTCCTCTTAACAAGACAGTTGCTGATGAAAATAAGATCCACGATGAAACTTTCCCCGCTGATAGTAAATGTTGATTTACCCACTGTTAAGCAAGATCACACGTAGTGTGTCCAGTAACACTTTTCTTAGGGCATTTGTGTGTGAGAGCGCGCCATCTACTTTGACTGTTTTTCCTATATTTCTTCTTATTATATTATACATGGTTATTTCCCTCCATTTTTTTCGGTGCCTTGCTTTCTCTGTCCAAGTTTTCACGCCTATTTCTTTCTGACAA